GTCAAGCTTACCTGCAGTTAATTAAACAAAGTGTGGTGTTAACTCCTGGTATATAAGAGTCCTTTATCCAAGAAACTTTTATGGTAATTCTGCGTAGACTGATCAAAGACGTGGCAGCACAACTAAAGCATCAACACAAACTGTTCCGTCTATTTTATGGACTTGGCTAACTATAAGATTATAAAAGTAAGCCACAGACACCTGCCCGAGTGGCCAGGCGAGATGGTTACAGGTGTATATAAGTGTTCCTTGGTCACGGGTCACTTAACACATGTCTTGGTTGACTTAAATAAATACTTGTTATCTATTCTCCCTGACACCTCCGTATGGCTCCCGGCTGCAGACCTAAAGTCCAGGTGTTGGTTCTCGACACCTCTACCACAGACTGCCTCTGTGATGGTCACACCCGTTTAAATACTCCATCAGTGGTGTTTCAGTTGTGGTTCTGTGTGTATATACGGACAGATCTCAAATGGGGCTCTACTGAGTGGTAGTATCACACCAGTATAAATGTCATTACCACAAAAATGCTGGTCAACAAAAAATTGTCACAAGTCAGAGTCAACATCTAATGTGAAAAAGGTGTGAATTATCACCCTTACTAGGGCCCAGGTTAGCCTTGATATTCCTGTAAATGGTGATAGTCATCACCCTTACAAGGGCTCAGGTCAGCCTCAATATTACTGTAAATGGAGTTGTCACCCTTACAAGGGCTCAGGTCAGCCTTAATATTACTGTAAATGGAGTTGTCACCTTTACAAGGGCTCAGTTCAGCCTTAATATTACACGATTTAGTGATTATCACCCTTAAAAGGGCTCAGGTCAGACTCAATATTCCTGTAAATGGAGTTGTCACCATTACAAAGGCTCGGGTCAGGCTTAATATTACTGAAAATGTTGATATTTAAAACCCTTTTAAGGCTCAGGTTAGCCTCAATATTCCTGTAAACTTATCTGATGACAATGTTAATTAACAGGTAACCACACCAAATAGTAGTAAACTTACCTGACGACAGTGTTAATTAACAGGTTACCACACCAGATAGTCGTAAACTTACCTGACAGTGTTAATTAACAGGTAACCACACCAGATAGTAGTAAACTTACCTGACGACAGTGTTAATTAACAGGTTACCACACCAGGTAGTAGTAAACTTATCTGATGACAGTGTTAATTAACAGGTAACCACACCAGATAGTACTAAACTTACCTGACGACAGTGTTAATTAACAGGTAACCACACCAGATAGTAGTAAACTTATCTGATGACAGTGTTAATTAACAGGTAACCACACCAGATAGTAGTAAACTTACCTGACGACAGTGTTAATTAACAGGTAACCACACCAGATAGTAGTAAACTTACCTGATGACAGTGTTAATTAACAGGTAACCACACCAGATAGTACTAAACTTACCTGATGACAGTGTTAATTAACAGGTAACCACACCAGATAGTAGTAAACTTACCTGATGACAGTGTTAATTAACAGGTAACCACACCAGATAGTAGTAAACTTATCTGATGACAGTGTTAATTAACAGGTAACCACACCAGATAGTAGTAAACTTACCTGACAGTGTTAATTAACAGGTAACCACACCAGATAGTAGTAAACTTATCTGATGACGGTGTTAATTAACAGGTAACCACATCAGATAGTACTAAACTTATCTGACGACAGTGTTAATTAACAGGTAACCACACCAGATAGTAGCAAACTTACCTGACAGTGTTAATTAACAGGTAACCACACCAGATAGTAGTAAACTTACCTGACGACAGTGTTAATTAAGAGGTAACCACACCAGATAGTAGTAAACTTACCTGACAGTGTTAATTAACAGGTAACCACACCAGATAGTAGTAAACTTACCTGATGACAGTGTTAATTAACAGGTAACCACACCAGATAGTAGTAAACTTACCTGATGACAGTGTTAATTAACAGGTAACCACACCAGATAGTAGTAAACTTACCTGACAGTGTTAATTAACAGGTAACCACACCAGATAGTAGTAAACTTACCTGATGACAGTGTTAATTAACAGGTAACCACACCAGATAGTAGTAAACTTACCTGACGACAGTGTTAATTAAGAGGTAACCACACCAGATAGTAGTAAACTTATCTGATGACAGTGTTAATTAACAGGTAACCACACCAGATAGTAGTAAATTTACCTGATGACAGTGTTAATTAACAGGTAACCACACCAGATAGTAGTAAACTTACCTGACAGTGTTAATTAACAGGTAACCACACCAGATAGTAGTAAATTTACCTGATGACAGTGTTAATTAACAGGTAACCACACCAGATAGTAGTAAATTTACCTGACAGTGTTAATTTTGTTGATTAAGTAATGTTATATCTGCAGTCTGTTCACCAGTTTTCTTAAAGAATGAACTAAACATATTGTCAACCATTTATTAATACTACCGTTTATGTCCATAATTGGCCTCCAATTCAATTATCTTATTACCTGCCTTCACACGGTGAATATCCAGGTGCTCTCCGAGCAGTTTTCCCATGCGTGTAGGTATTTTTGGCCCTATAGATTCACAGTATTTTTTTACAAGGTTTATACCTGGTTAGCTAAGTTATGGAGGGATATTTTTTATCTCTTAGAGAGCCTTGTAATGGACACTGTTGCTCGGAGGGTTTCACCACATTTTAGTGAACTCGTAAAAAAATGTACCCACCTTATATTCCTTACTCTGAACTTAACTTAAAAGAGAAATGTAATCTACACCCCCTCATCCAATGGGTAATTGTCCTGAGCTGGGCAATAAAATGGTTTAAAACGTTATTATATATCTGTAACGTAGAATCATGTTTGGACTTTAAAATTTGTATCAAACTGTTAAATGAGTGCAAACATTTTCATAGGGATTATATACAAGATATAAAATTTTCATGAGATAAGAACTTATGTCTTTAACGAAAACTTAATTAGATTACAAATATTAATGAGGCTTTAATTCATACCAAAAAGTCATTGTTTCGAAACTAAGAATAATTAATGTATTTTGATATCTTTGTGTATTTTTATCAAGACTATGTCAAATGATAAATTGGTGTGGTTGTATACAATTTGTATAATTTGTGAAAAAAGGAAGTTCTAGATGTATATTTAAAAAGAAGACGTGCTATTGTTTATACCTACAAACACTTTAATATAAGAGGGCAGCAAATCATACTGTAAAACACACAACATCAGAAGTGGTTGGGGGAGGGGGGGGAAGATAAATCATGTTGAAGTTAAGGTATTAACAGGTGCAAACATTTGCAGGTAAGGCTTAAAAAGGTGTTCTTATTTATACGTAATAGAGTAATGACGCCCATAACAGTTTCAATGTCATTGACTGAACACTTAAATAAATGGACCGTGTTTGTATATATCAGTAATAAATTACAGACTGGGATGTGTTCCTGGGAAAATCATAAATTTTTTCGGGTAGTTTTTGTAGGTAGGTGAGAAACCTGGAGCCATTTGAAGTTTTTGTCAATATGGTAACCTAGTTACTTAAGTTCCTCTTAAAAATTTCGAATATAAAAATTTTTAAAAAGTTGACAGTTGTTGGCTGTATGTACTTTTCAGACATATAGATATAAAAATACTGCTCAACAGAAAACTGCTAAATTCCAATCGCAAACATTTTCTTTTTGTCAGTGTGATGAATCGTAATCTTTGTTGATTTGCAGTTCTCAATTAAGATATTAAAACCTTGGGCTACAATACGGGAAAGTTTTAAAAGAAAATGAAAATCGATCTATTCAGATAATTCTGTATAGAAAACAATAATTAAAAATAACTTTTTTTGTATGTTTTTTGGTTTGGGAACAAAAGATTGTTGGTTTTTTTTGTTGGTCAGGCAGTATTAAGTTTAGGAAGATCTCGGACACATGACTTTCCTTCCTGATCTTTTGAAACTGTTTTTTCAGGTTGGTAAAAATATATTTCATAATGTGATTTATATAGTATAGTATGTTTATGACTTCTTTTTTTACCAAACGTACTTTGAACTATATATATCATATCAATTTTAGAATATTTCATTGTTGTGTTATATAAACCAGTAGCTGTATAGAACATGTACCTTAAACACATTTGTAACTGTCAGTAACTAGGTATAGACTATAGAAATGATGGTTCTGATATCATCACATCTGGCAATAGCTTATGCCTGAAAATAAGCCCACCAACACCTATTGGAGTTTCAAAATGACAGTAATGTCTGCTATATCATTGTCCCATGATAAGCCCATTTCCTGATCTGAGTCTGAAGTTTTGATTCCAAGGCATATTGGAGGATACAGGCAGTGCTTCCAGTATCACAGAGACCCATGTGTTGTGTATAGAATTTAGTTCAGAAATCTGTACATGTTTAAGACCAAGACAGGTGACATGGAATCAGCGCCAAAAATGAACAGAAACCTATACTGTAAATGTAACGTGTTTTAGTGGTAATTGTATTTCAGCACTTTTCATGATGAACACATTCTGTGAAATTATGATTACAATCATTGTTGATACAATAATTCATCATTATGCAAATTTGTTCAAGTTTAGGTATGCTCTAGAATTTTAATCGACAAAATAGAACGTTGACAGTAATTGTCTTTATTGTATTTCAGAATTTTCCATTATGTGACAAATGTTATGTCCAGAAATGTGGTTTATTGGTTGATTTATTGATGGTTTTTGCTATAAACAAATGTTATGTCCAATAGCAAGGTTGTTTAGCCAGTTAAATGGCCACTTACCTTATACTACTTACTAGAACAAATGTACTGGCACTTAGAATGAACGAGGATATCTTTCACTCTGGCTTAGTCAATCTTGCTGCTTACTAATCCTAGCATGCTAAAGGAACATTTATCTATTAGAGAAGACAGGAATCTTCATTTCCTTTTTCTACACATGAATTAAACATTCCCTCAAAGGACACAAATTCATCATCAACACAGTTGATATAGTGGTAGTACATACCTAGTCCCTGAGGTGGTGAGGGATCTGGGGTTGTCCATTTGTCTGGTGCTATGTTCCCCACCTTGATGAAGCCTCACTGGACCTGCTGGACCTACAAGCGAAGAGAGGAATACATGCTGTAAATTGATCCATACCCAGATATATGTATAAAACCTCCACATTTAATATCCTCTCAGACAGAAGAGATAAAACAAAATTGATTTTGTGCTCGTTTGTAATATCCCCTATGGTCGTGTCCATTCCTTCACACCTTCCCTATAGCCCATGTGCTTTATCACGACATTATCATTCTAGCCTCGTTTTATATCACACTAGCTTACAACAGTTTGTTTTCATTTAAAATAATACATAATTAGATATTTTTAAAGACATTTTCAGATACGTATATATATGTTTTTCTTCTGTAAAGTGGTATTTTTAAGGTATTAAACCTGTAAATATATTGTTTCTTGTAGTATCATTATTCAGACAAAGATGCCTAGTTGACAAGGCTTGGATGTCAATGCAGGTCTAATGCTGTTCCTAGATAAGCCCACATTCTGAATGTTTGTTGTTGGCCAAGCAGTAGTCCCAGTAACCAGGAGACTTAAACCAGGGTAAAGAAATCTGCCGACATGTGGAACACTTTTGTCGCCAAATGTTGTCAATTAATTGTTGTACTGTCTGCTTTATGATTTTTATGTTAAACTTCATTCTATATTAATCATATTGATGTTTACTTTGACAATATCAACACAAGAAAAAAATAATACATTTGTCACAGTTGACATAATGGTGGGAAAAATGGTTGATTACGATATTGGGAATGTTTATTCACTAAGCTAAGATATCCTAAATGACAATGTGCATATTTCAATCAAAGGGCAGGTGAGGAGATGGTATCAGAATGTGTTAAAGTACAGGTGAGGGACAAGGTCATTTGAGGATACAAAGGGGAGATTACTCTAAATAAACACTATTTATCCTTCAGCAAACATGAGACATTCAATTCACATGTACAATTTAATCAGTACAGAAGGAATGGTAAGATGGGATAAGAAAGCTTTCCGTATCATTGTCCTGGTGTCTAGACACAAAGACAAGGGCAAATAACTTGAAATAAAAGATGTCCTGATTTCTAATGTTAGCATGCGGTCTCTATGATAAAGGTTTACCATCACTGGCCATAATTACATATTTATAAACTAAACTCATGCAAAACATGAATGTTATTCCTGCAGACATTTGGAAGTTTTCTTGGTTGTTTTTAGTTCTTGCTAAAGCTATAAAGTCATATGAAGATGTCTATGGATGACAGGATCACTTAACTGTCATCACACTGGAATATTATGTGGACATGGTAGTATGACACCCTATCCAGTCACACCATACTGACTACATGGAAACTTTTATAGTGTCATCACACTGGAATATCATGTGGACATGGTAGTATGACACCCTATCCAGTCACACCATACTGACTACATGGAAACTTTTATAGTGTCATCACACTGAAATATCATGTGGACATGGTAGTATGACACCCCATCCAGTCACACCATACATGGAAACTTCTATAGTGTTGTCACACTGAAATATCATAACCTGAACTTGGAAGCAATGTGACACCCCATCAATTCACATGATTGTACTGACACAGAGCTCATATGTCTTTATACAAGGAGCAAAAATATCATTTCATGACTTTGGTGTGTCATTGTTAGAGACAGAACCCGTAACTTTCCTTACTTTGACAGATGCCCAACTCAAGGTTGAAAATAAGGAGGTGTTGAGGAAAAGTTCACTTTGATGAACACTAAAACTGATCTGTTACCCATACTGCAACACGTTGGAATTTTTTTCCCCTTTTCTGCTTTACTTCGTACTGATAGATGCCTGCATGTTGTTGTTGCTTTACTAAGTTTGGAGAAGACATTAAATCCACAACAAACCAGCAGAAAATATTGTTGTCGCATAAACCCCATAAAAATGCGGGCTGAAAAGGAATTCTATCCACCTCCATTTACTGATATTTCTTCATTTACTAAATGATCATATACGATCTAACAGTGTGAATGATGTGTGGAAATATTAACATTTCATTATCCAGTTTTTATTCAAAGCTCAAGGATCATGTTAATATTGACTTGGATGATTACAGCAAACTGTAAATGTAGAAATAGATTTACCCAAAAAACTTGTTCAACAGGTTTAGGTATTTGAATACTTATTATTTGAATGACATTGAAATGTTTTTGATAAGAAAATTGTCATGATTCTTTATGTAGCCATACTTGTGCAAATATTTGATTTAGCAAATAATTTGCACATACATGCATGTCATGAATGTGTGTTTACTTAGACTCACAGACACTGGAGTAGGGATATGTAATTAATGTTCGGACAACATTTTTACATTTAATATCTACAGGAACCGTTACAATGTATTCTCATTTCAAATTTACGGCAACTACCAGATTACGAAACTAACGGGTACAACTTGGCTTGTACACTGCAGATTTTGTCAATCTGTCAAAGACAATCTCAAGTCGGGTTGCATATAGTAATTGAACTGCTTTTGGTTAGCATTCATGGGCATATGATGCCAAACAGGATGAGGCCAAATTCAGTGCGGAGTTGTCTTTTCATGGTAATTTGCCTGTAGCCAGTTGGCATTCATATCAGGTAATTAAACAACTGACTATGTTAAGGTTGTACACTATGGTAACTATATAGATGAGAGAAAGGAATCCCTCTGGGGTGAGATTTAGGAATTTTCTCTTCTGTTTTCACTCAAAATCGCATTGAAATTCTTCGAAGATGTTAATTACGAAGAATCATCTGAGGAAAAGGTCGAGAATTCTTTTACCTTTCAAGAATTTAACTATTTTCTAATTTCTTCTTACCTATACATATTATTGTTACTTCAATCATTGTTGTGGTTGTCAGAGTATTAAAAGTGACCTGTTTGTTTTCAGTTTTCATGTATTTTGGTTCCAACATATCCAAGCTAACAAAGCACAGACAACAACCTCATTGCAACACTAAATTTTACCATAGACAAGCAGTGAAGAACAATTTTCAGATTACATATGAGGTTAAAACATTCTTGTGTCAATACATGTGGTATCAATCTATTAAGCAGTTTCAAACTGATTCAACTTGTTTAGTTTGGAGCTCTTCTGTAAAGGAAATACATGTTATAGGAAGGTAGCATATATCCTTAATTCAATGTCAGTTATCAAGGATATACAATTTAGTGTCTGTGCCTACAAGTCCCTGTTGACATAGGCAGTATTTTACATTGAAGTCTGTGATTAGAACAAGCTGTGGCGTTTCACACTTGGTTAACAAGTTATTGGGTGTAATTGTGAAATCTGATCTCCCCAATCACCAGGTTCGGATACACAGAATGCATGCATGTGTGAGAGGGAGTCAGTATGGGTTAGGTACCGTACTCCTTGGCATGTAAGGCTGATATTGTTTCTACAAACATGAAAAATATGAGATATTCCAGACATAAGGTTTGGAAGGGCTGCCTTGAAGAGCTAGTCTCATGTATCTGTGGACTTTCGGTCAACCATGGACTTTATCAAGTTTGCATAGTTTTGTGTCCAGAATATGTCACTCTTGACTTAATTACAGTCAAAATCAGCTAGAGTTGGCAGTTTCATAAAAAGGCAAAAAATTCTTTATCAGCTACTTTTGATGCTGGGACAAGATGGTGGCAACCTTTCCTAAATGTACAGCACAAATGTACATTTTTGCATTCAGAGTAACACAGGTTTTAAATTGTCCCAGTTTATTCTATGTTTCAAAGCCAGAAATTGAATCTGGTTGTATGTTAGTTAAGGTTGCTGTTTCACAAAATGCATTTAAAACATGTTTCAACACCTCAGTCTAAAAGCTGCCTTTTCTGGAAATCAATTTAAAACTAGAACATTTCCAATTTCTGTCTATTACATTAGAATCCTGTACAAGGTGTTTTACACAAAGCCTGAGTAAATATCTTGATACAGAGTAAGCATTACTTCTATGATTCAAATCTGCATATTTTCTGAACTGAACACACGTCATGTTGTGGGAACCAGTAGCTGTATATTCAGGAAATATCAAATGGCATACATCATATTCTGTTGTGCTAGAGTCTATACATCTCATCCTGTACCAAGCCTAAATGTTACATCCTGATTGGTATTAAATTGTAATTCATGAGTTTGGTTTCCTCCTTGAAACTTTTATGAATAAAATTGGACTCAATGCAAAATTTATCTTTTTGTTCAGGAATGAAGTTAAACTTCTGAAAAAATCTGAAAATTGATTTCAAATCACGTACCTGAAGGAATTTCAGTCTCAGCTGTGTGTAATTTGTAACTATCCCGCTAAGAATAGGTTTTATGTACCAGCTATGTTAACGAGGATTTGGAGAATAGACTGTCGAACACCTGTGGTTGTATATATAGACACCTGAGGCAGTGATATAGAGAACCAAGACAATGCAACAGAGAAATCTCATACCCTTGTAGCTCACAGGTAGCAATATAGGTACGCCAACGACCTATTCACAAATATCTGCTCAAGCATGGACAAATATGTAATTCTTCATTGTGCATTGTTGAACAACGTTATGATATCAAGCTGCATACATTTTTTTTCATATAAGATTTTAAATGTTTTTATGTATGTTGAGCTTGTTATCTTAGTTGGTTTTTTTTTTCAAACTTGTAAGAATTTAATTTCCTGTTTTCTATTGAGTAATGTAGAATTTGATAACAACTTTGATGAAACTGTCTGACAATTATGAGCATCCACTGGCTATATATTTCAAACAATTTATTGAAATAGATTGAGAAAATGTTAACAAACATCTAGACCTAATTAAATGTGAGATATGGTAGGCCTACTGATTTAAAAATTGCACTTCTAGTGTCTCATAACATTATATACAAAACACCACAGATAAGAAAAATTGATATAAAAGAATTTTCTTATTCGGGAAACAGTATAAAAAAAAATGAAAGTGGTTTTCTTTGATAAATGATGAATCTTAAATTTACAAACTAAAAATAACTACTTTGGACAGAATTTAAGATGTTTACTTTGATTCAATTC